CTGACGGTTGAAAGGCGTTCCCACAAAAGGATAAACCGAGGGGGAAACCGCTGACCAAAATCTTGTACACCAATGCCCACTAATGCCCAGTGGGCATTACTTTATCTTATTATCTTCTTTTATCTTATTTATCTTGTTTTATCTTATTTTATCTTATTGTATCTTATTTTATCTTATTTTATCTTTATAATGCCTCAGCAAGACGTAATGCCTCAAAAATGCCCGAGTAATGCCCGGTAATGCCGCAAATCTGTACACCACAATGCCCTCAGCGGTTTCCCCCTCGGGATAAACTTAAAAAGAAAAAAAGACCTGAGGTTGCCTTAGTTAATTTTAGTTCGAAGGTAGAGTGGATAGAAAATTGCATCTATATATTTTCAATAAAAATGAAGAGACATTGATCTTGACAACATGCTCAGCTCATTGAAGCTAAATCTTCTTTTCCAGAGCATTTTTATAAAAATATTTTTAAATGAATATTTTGTACTATAGGAATAATTATATTAATTTTTGTGTATGTTTTACATAGTTTGAAATGTGGAAATCGAAGCTACTTGAAAAACAATTTTTACTTTTATTATATTTTGTTATATGCTAATATTGGCTTTATGAAGCAAAGAATAATTTGTTTTAAATTTTGGGGAACATAGTATGATTTTAGAAAATATGAAAAATTTTTTTAAACAAATTTAATTTTTGCTTACAGCTTCTGAAAAGTTTCTTTAGAAAGTTTGAAAGTGTGTTTCACTGATATTAAAGATAAAGAAAATATATTGTAGATATTTGTCTAGGAAAGCTTTTATTTCTAGTTACAATTGCTAGTTACAAGTATTAGTTTCTTAAGAATTTCACGAAAAAATTAATAATGTAGTAATATATCTTTTCGTAAATTAAAGATTGCAGATGTGTGACGTAGATGTATGTCTGTTCCTGGTCGATTGCCAAGTCTGCAGTGACAGTACATACAGCAGCGTCACACTTGGCAAAACTGCGAACAGTAAGGCGTGTAATCGATGTGAATATAACGTCCAACTTTAAAAAAACGTTTACTCTACAGCGAAGAGGAAATCGCTGGCCAAAATCTTGTACATCAATGCTCACTAATGCTCAGTGGACATTACTTTATCTTATTATCTTATTTTATCTCTATAAGACCCCAGCAAGATCTAATGCCAAAAATGCCTAGTAATGCCGCAAATCTGTACACCACAATGCCCTTAGCAATTTCCCCCTTGCTTTACAGCGTATAAAACAATATAAAAATATTATATCATTCTTGCAACGTACAACGTCATTTTTTAATGTAGTATTTTTATATTTAAATAATTGTAATAGTGTTAAAGTATACTGAAGACTCATTTTGTTTTAGTTTAATATGTAAAAGCGAATATTTCTTTCAATTTGGTAGCTCGTTTTTGTCCTTGATCAGATATAATTCAATATGAATTACTTATTGATTACAAAAAAGGGGTAATATTCGATCTATTTTAGAAATTTGTTCTATTGATTATATACAGGTACGCTATTTCATGCAAAAACATTTTCATTGTGATATATGTTGTAAGAATTTTTATGACAACTTTTTTTCTTAGGTCATCAATTAAAGGTGGCTACAGTGAGTGAACAGGAGCCTTAAAATTCTGATGACGCATTACTGTTTTTTTGTTTATTAATTATGCCATAAAGTATATAAGTTCAAATGATTAGAGAAAATGCCATTTTAAGTCGGACTGAAGCTTGGTAGCCTCCTAACGTTTGTGTCAATTTTAAATTTTCTATACTTTTTCTAACACAGTAAATTGCGCGTTGATTTTTAAGACCGCGCTGGTCTTAAAGCAGCTATTTGTTGGAACAGTAAATCTACATACTTTAAATCGATAATCGATCGAATTAATAAAACATAAATACTCATCTGTCGGTATAGGAACATCATGCGCAATATGTGAAAGTATTAAAACACTAATAATAAATAATGAATTTATTTTTTACTAAAATAATCATTTTATATTTAAAATAAACCTTTGCATTAGAATTCGAAACTTCCGTGAGTAACCTAGATTGTTTGAAAATTACGTACAATATTGGAGTAGTATAAATGAGAAGTAATTAATTAATATCTTGGGTAAGCTGGAAATAGTGAACAATTGCAGTATTTACAAAAAGTAAAAAATCTCATTAACAACAAGTATTTTATCACGAATGATAATTATTACTAGCTTTTGCAATAAATTAACATTATAGCGTTCTCCTTTATCTTGACCGTGAACTTTTATCTACAAACTTGGAGTAAACTCTTATTTTAGATACATGTCTGTATACACTTTTTATACGTACACGCGCGCGCGCAACACGGACGCACGGATATAGTATTATAATTTTTTTATTTGATAACTACTTGTGTGATACAGGGTGTGCCGGTATTTTCTTATTAGAAAATATCCATAAGTAAAAAAAATGAAAAGGTACAATATTCGATTCGAAAATATTCGGCTCTAGTTAAACATTCTCTTAATATTTGGGTACAATTTTATTTTTATTTTTCGTCTACATATCGATGGAACGTTTAAATAGAACTATTTGTATTTTGAAAAATTATAGAAAATAAAAACAGTTTACATTTGCACCAAAGTTACACTTTATGCTTATAGATTTTGACATTATTCATTGCAATAAAAATCTACCTTAAAAATAAATTAATGTTTATCCGAGTTTTATCCTTAAAATTTCGACAAGTAAACCTACCTTTGTATTACTCGCCAATTGTAATCAAATTCAGAATTGTAGAGTGATCAAAAATAATAGACACGTCTTTCTTTATATTGGCAGGGACTGCCATTTTCAATTCTACAATTTTTACAATGGATTGTTTTCATCGACATAAAACGCCTAAAATATTTACATTACGTTTCTTTTACTTATATCGCTACTTTTCATTTATGTGTTATTATTATCCATTACGTAGTAGTTTTATTTGCATTACTATTGTTTTATTTGTATTATTATTTATCATTTAGTTTTAAGACTAATATTTTATCTATTTTTTATGACTTTATCTCTTGCTTCTTTCTATATGATTTTAACTTAATTTTATACAGTATTTCATATTAAACGAGGCATTTCTCCAATAATGTGTGTATATTGCATCCCACACAGCACAGATGGTTGCAGTTACATTGCAGAAACGTTGCAATCTTGCAGAGACATTGCAGGGATATAAAATTGCAAACTTTCGATAGCAATATTGCAGCAATGTTTCAAAAATAATGAAAATACTATATTTTCTATTTAAAAATTTTTTCTAATTACGAGAATTTTATAATGTTATTTTCGTTGATACCAATAATGTACGAATTATTAAGTACTTGATCAGTGCGATGTTGCTCGCAATCTCCATCTATTGCGAAGCGACATAACTTCCTTAGGTTGCTTCGCAATAGCTTGTAATTAGTAAATTCTCTGCTTATGTACAACAACAAATTATTCCAAAAATATTGCACTGCAACATTGCTATAATGTTGCACTGCAATCTCTCTGAGGGCGGACATTTCAACGTTACTGCAATCCTCCAGAAACGTTGCAGCAATGTTGCGCAACGTTGCTGCAATATTGCAATCTTGCAATGTAACATTTCTGCAATCTTTCTGTGCTGTGTGGGATTAATCACCAAGTATTTATTTGATAAAAACTGATATTATCATTCTTTATTCTTTATAGGATGACCTGAAAAGTAAACTTAAAGATGCAGGCAATAATTTGGTAGTTATTGACTTCTTTGCCGAATGGTGCGGGCCATGCAAGATGATTGGTCCATTAATTGAGGAATTGTCCAAGGTATGACATTAAATTAATTTGTTCCTAAATTAAGTTTTATAATATATAGTCCCCTATTATGGGGTAAGCTCCTAATATGAGATAGCACGGTTTTTCTAAATTAATAGGCATCATCTATTGGTTTCATCGTGACTTTATTGCCCTTGGAGTGAAATTTGTTTAGTGGAAAATTTATCGTTCGATCGTAAAATCGTTGTGAATAAAGATTTATGATTAAATTTTGATGTTGAAAACCTGTTATCTCATATTAAAAGCCTATCTCATAATAGAGGACTTACCCCTATATTATACATATAATAGATTTAAAGTTGAAATTAAAAACACAAATATATTGTTTATTGCAGGAAATGAAAGATATTGTTTTCCTTAAAGTTGATGTGGACGAATGTGAAGATATCGCTGCTGAATATGAGATATCCAGTATGCCTACGTTTGTTTTTATAAAGGAAGGCAAAGTGGTGTGTATTAAATAATATATGTATCTAAATATTGCAAAATGATGGTCGAATGAATAGTCAATAACAAATAAAATTTTTTATGCTTTCAGTTGGAGACCTTTTCCGGTGCAAATATTGATAAACTTAAAAATACAATTCAAAAGCACAAATAAACAAATTGTCACGAATGTTTAAATATATTGTACTCTTACAAACTGTAAAAGTGACACATACTGAATCAGCTTTAATTACTATTGTACACAAATACTATAGAACAGCTATTTAAATAGAAAAAGAACAGTTTGCCTGGTTTACATTGTACACATTAAAAAGGATCGAAGCAGTTATTTTTTTAATAATGAAAAGCTTATTTCCATAGATTTTGTTGCAAAACTGTAATGAGCTCACAAATATACATGATATAATTATGAATCACAGTGTGGATATTGGCATTGGTATTTTATAATTTTATTTTTACATATTATATAATACTGGTAAAATAGAAAATGCCCCCGTTCCAGATTTACACGGTTGTCCCAACATCAGTCTACTCGAAGGTGATAATATATCATCTTTTTTTCCTATAAATGATAAGAAAATAAGATAATAGATGTAGAAACAACTACATATGTTGCATGCGAGTATAATTTTAAAGAACTAAGAGTGTTCTAATCAATGTTTATAACACATGTTTTCCTACGACAATGTTCATATCTTGTTTAATAGAAGAAGATTCACGATTCTTTTCACATAATTTGGTTTTTCTTAATCACGTAATTTTGTACGTACAAAAATATTAAAATGAAGCCTAAAACAATATCGGTTTATAAAATATATTCTATATATGTATATGTTAATTATGAAACGTTTTAAGGCGATCTACACGCTTCCACCGATAAAGACATCACGATAACCGCTTCCAATTTTTCTCGAAAGCGGTTTTACAGAATGGCTTGACATTTTTACAGTCAATATCTGATTAATAGAGGAACAGAGTACTTCTTCTGTTAATGAGATGTTAAGTCATTCTGTAAACTGTTTCTGAGAAAACTTGGAAACGATTTTCATGATTTCTTTATTGGCGAAAGCGTGTGACGTATAGTCTTATGACTCCTGCTCCCTGCTACAATTATTCTTGTTTAATGACGTCAGAAGAGAGAAATGACATGCTGAAAATTCTTGCTTTATATTTTCACATAAAATCATGTTTGGATTTAAAAAAACTTTAGATCGCTTTAATACACTTACAAAAATGTCCATGAATGTGAACAAGGTCCAGTCAGATTATGCATATAAGTATATAAAAAGGTGTTTTATATAAAAAGGCTTTGTATCATATTTATTTTACGTCTGTTTGTTAACTATTGAAAGAGAAGGATAATTTTCGGACAATTGTATAAATGTGCTAGAGCGATCTAAAATGTTTTTTCATCCAAGTATCTTTTCAGTTAAAAATATAACGCAAGAATTCTCAATACGTCATTTCTCGCTTCTGGCGTCATTAAACAACTGTAGCAGGGACCAAGAGCTTTAATATAAAATATGTAACATGTGAATTAAATATCTTTGATAATTTTACCTCATTTAGACTTTATACTATCTTTTATAGGACAGATTTATTTATTTGATGTACAATTTATCAAATAATTATTTTTCTCTATTTAAACAATTATACAGGGTGTCCCAGACCATCCGTATCAGCCAAATATCTCGAAATCCGAGAACGGCAGACAAAAACGTTTCAGACAAAAGTTGTTTGGTTTCGAGGGTGCCATAAGATGGTACCATTGGTGTGACCTTGAAGAATTATTTGAAGGTCACATAAAGGTTACACCATTATTTTAAATAGCATCCCCTATTTTTTATTACATATTCTTGTAGCTGACCTCGAGAGCTTTCCAAAACGCTATAATAAAGTATTTTTATATTAAGAACTTTTTGAGTTCTTAAGGTTTGAAAGTTCCAATATTTTGACATAAATTACAAAATATCTTGTAAAATATTCATTTTTTATCATCCTACCCTAATACTTTTTTTAACAGAATAATGATACAAATCAACCGGTGTAAAGAAAACACACAATTTTGTAACAAGTAATAAAAAAATTTTTTTAAACAATTGTTTTCTTTACACCGGTTGATTTGTCTCATTATTCTGTTCAAAAAAGTATTAAGGTAAGATGATAAAAAAATGAATATTTTACAAGATATTTTGCAATTTATGTCAAAATATTGGAACTTTCAAACCTTAATAACTCAAAAAGTTCTTAATATAAAAATACTTTATTATAGCGTTTTGGAAAGCTCTCGAGGTCAGCTACAAGAATATGTAATAAAAAATAGGGGATGCCATTTAAAATAATTGGTGTGACCTTTATGTGATCTTCAAATAATTCTTCAAGGTCACACCAATGGTACCATCTTATGGCCCCCTCGAAACCAAACAACTTTTGTCTGAAACGTTTTTGTCTGCCGTTCTCGAATTTCGAAATATTTGGCTGATACGTGTGGTCTGGGACACCCTGTATATTTTTCACAATATTTACGAAAAAAGAAATAGAGCTTTCAATAATTTTGCAATAGGAAAGATGAAGATCTAATCATGTTATGAGAATAAAATATTTTTTCGGTTATCATTCCCTTCTGTAAGGAAAGTTAATTTGAAATATATGTATATCGTTAAATTATTTTGTCCTACATTGAAAATACTCTTCAGACTCGTGTTAAATTTTTTTTTATGTTTTGATGCCATATTTTGGATCTTAGTTTTCTAAAGATTGACAACAATTTTTTATATAATGTAAATTTTTATCCAACATGACTCACCTTGCAACATCGCTGTTTTCAAAAAACCTATCGAACTTTCAAAACTTATTTGCTGTAATGGCGAAGCAGAATCTTCCATTCCTTTTCGACTAAGCGGTTTGAATGTGCCATCAAAGGTCATATAGTCCGCAATTAAGGACAGATGTCTAGAGTCAACAGTGATACCATACATTTTGAAAACATCCCGTACCTCTTTTACAATGACTCTATTTGCAGCTTCAATTCCATACGTTTGAGAAATATTATAAATGTCGTTAGAATATAATCTATTTAAATCAAGTATGTTATCGTACTTGAACATTTCCTATAAACGAAAAAAACAAAATGTATTAGAAAAAAAGTAGAGAAATATTCTTATACAGATTATTTATGGATTTGTATTTACTCACCACTATATTTAAACCATCTGTTTTGAGAATTGTTTCGCCTTTATTGTTTTGAAATGTAAAAGCCTTCTTGATGCATGGTGTTTCCCACAAGACAGTTTTGCTTGCAGCATTCTTGATTATCGTTGGCAAATCCAATTTGATCGTTTTGAGTGGTAACTGAAAAGGATCAATATGTATAATTTGCTGCGTAGTCTATTGGTGCATTCTGAAATATACTGACAGTAAAAAAAACATGATTCACGTTACATAAGGTACAGACTTTTAGTACAATCGATATATTTCAGAATGTACCATATAAAGAATGTTATAGAAGAAAAATTCTAAATTTTGATTTTAACTAACGTGTCCATAACTAAAGAGTTAAATGCGTATAACATTCACTAATAAGAGGAGTAAAACATGCTTAATCTATATAGGTACAAAATAATTATTATTAAGTATAAAAATATTTTTTAGTTTTATATAGTTTTATATAATTACTAAGATTTTTGTCTATGTCTATTTCGTTTTTTGTGTATTTAGAACTCAATGGCCTGTTTAATGAAATATTGCAATGTTCGGTATTACCTTTCGATCACAGTTAAGACCATGGACGTAAATTATGTTATAAAAAATTAACGATTATTTTTTCATTTTAGTCGAGTTTTTCAAATCTCTGAATAGTCTTTTGTTAATTTATTAGCGTTCTTTAGTAAAATTATCTATATTTGGTTTGCATTCGCGTTGGTAGCTCAAAATGATTAATTTTTTTTAATAGCAAATTTTATATTTTAAAATACATATTTGAATTTTTAAGGATTGAAAAGAAGGACAACATCAAAGTTGTTATACATTTTAGTAACGTAATTGGTAAGTAATGTTAATGTATTTTTGTAGATTGCTTCTTACAGCTACAGCATAAAATTTTTTATTAAAAAATAAGTTTTTAGTTAAATTCAATAAATTTCATAACTTTTAAAATTACTTTTTAATAGTACACTTTCTCCATATTTTGTATGCAGCATTATATTAAATTTTATAATGAAAATAACGATTTATTTTTATATACATTCGATAATTTTTCAATAACTTTCATTTCACTTATCATCAATTTCACAGTACTTTTAGCAAAATATGTCTATAACACTTACCCAAAAAGTGAATTTGCACCACAATAATTTACTTTCGTCATAATCATAATCCATAGCCTGTTCGTACATTTGGATGACACATTCCTTTCTGTCAGTGGGTTTATTTTTTCTATTCAACGCCTTAATATCATCGTCATCATCTTCGTCGTCCTCCTCATTCATATGAATTTTATCCGCATTATTATTATCGTCTGCTTCTTCCTCCTTGTCATTTACAACATCTTCAATCTCTTCCTCCTCGGGGTCCTCATATTCCTGATTCTCTTGGTGACGCGACAAGGACTTAGTCATCGTTGCGTCAGCGTCTTCCGCGGCCTCTTCCTCATCGGACGACTCGTGCATCTCACCCAAGTCCATCCGTGTTCTGCTTTCAGTATTTTCTGGCACTATTTCGTCAGGATCAATCTGATCAATTGCCGCGTCCTCGTCGGTCACCCGTCTCTTCTCGCCATCGAAGTGTAGCAAGACTTTAGTCATTTTGGCAAGTTTCGTAATTTCCTTGAACATATTCTTGAAGAAGGTCTCCTCGGTGCGCTTGATCACATTCCGCGGATGAACGGAAAACTCTCTCTTGTAATATTTATGAGGGAGATACTGGACCGTTATAGTGTATACCAATTTTCGATGCGGGCATTCTTCCATTTTCCTGCTTATTGTGACATCTTTCAACACGTCACGCAAGACACACCTCGTTAATTTCAATCTCAGTTTCCTCGCCTGCTTCTCGAGATTCAGCAGGTCACTTTGGAAGGGTATCTCCATACTCGGAGTCTTTATGTTCTTCGACGCCATCATCAAGATCTCACGTAGTCTAGGAATACCCAAGGTCACGTTCATCTCTCCACGTCCCGCAAAGTGGAAGGTATTCAAGGTCATTTGAGTGGACGGCTCGCCGATGGACTGCGCCGCTAGTAAACCAACCGGTTCACCGGGCGGACAGATGGTCTTCATAACTTTTATAGATAACAAGTCTCTCAGGACAGATTTCTTAATAGATTTCGACGTACGAAAGAGATACTCGTCCATTATGCTCTCCATTTGTTCGGATAATACACCGAATTCAATATCTTGTCTGTACCTCGACATCACCGGATCGGGGCATTTAGCGCATTGTGCGCGAAATGATTTTTTCACCTCCTCCTTCGTCTTTGTCCACTTCCTTATGAGTGACAACGCGGCCTTACTTCTCCCACTGTGGCTATTAATGACCTCTCGTTTGGCACTGTTGTTCTGACTAGAATTCTCCATAGAGAATCTACTAAACCCGCTGACTCGTCTCTTTCGCAAGCAGGGGCCATTTTTACTCTCCCACTTCTTGATCTTTTTCATCGTCTTCATAATCTCCTCGTTGTCCGTCTTTAGACACTCCAGCAGCTTGGTATCTAAAATAGAATCTTTATTGTCAACTAAAAATGAGATTTGATTCTTCGTCAGGAAACGTGAGCCCGGTATATCAAGGCCGTCCTCCCCGTAATAAAACTGAATTAAACTGCCGTCATAGTCTCTGACCGTCGCGTCGTAATTAACAATCAAGCCTTCTAAATGTTTTATCAAACACCTTTGCAGGTAACCGGACCTGCTGGTTTTTACCGCAGTGTCGCAGAGACCTTCGCGCCCTGCCATGCAATGAAAGAAACATTCCTGGGTCTTGATGCCAGTCATAAATCTACCGTCGATGAAACCACCGGCTCTGGGAGTTGGATCGTATGCCGGAAAACTCGACAAACTCTTCCCGCTGATCATCAACGGCGGCCTCTTGCCTTCTAATTCAATCTGACCGAGCAAACACGATATCTGCATGGTGTTAACCGTGGACCCCTTCGCACCAGATTGCACCATGAGCTGCAAATTATTGTCCGGAAACTTCTTGAGGAGTCCCGTCAGCAGGCCGACTCTGTTAATATCATTGGTGTAAACATCCATGGTGCTCTTGTACTTGTGATCGATCTGCCCGCGAAATTTTGCGTTATTCCAATAAGATTCCTCCATTTTAGCCCGAATTTCGTGCACGGGTGTATCGTCGGGTACTTTTAACACAGACTTCTGCACGGTATCCCCGACCTTTCTGCAATTGGAGATGATCTCTTTGCGCATCTGGTCGTTTTCACGGGTTATCAGAATGTCCTCGACACCGAGAGTGAATCCGTCGCACCGCAGGAACGTCTGGAACAGCCTGCCAAACGCGCTCAGCATATTGCTCGCGCATATTCCCCCGTACAACTCGTAAATACAATGGATGAGACCGTAGGGAGTCGCACCATAATGCATCTTATCGAGTACACCGCATAATAATTCTCCGTGCCGAATTATAACTTCAGTTTCCGACATGGTTGCCAGGTTTTCAAACTCCGTCCCGCATTTCCAACGTCGCGGAGCCTCCGCCTGCCACTCCTTCGCGCTGATCTTCGTGGTAGAGACCAGATTGATTCGCGCCTTATGCGGGGAAATAATATTGATGATGACCGTCGAGAGGACCTGCTTGCCCGACCACAACACTTTCGGCTTGACGATAGCCGGCGGTAGAAGAATTATACTCTCTTGCTTCGTCGACAGCGCGGTGTAAACCAGCTGTGTGTAATGCGCCTTTGAAAAGAATTTACCTCTGGTCGTTAATCGCACTCCAGATACCATGTAATCTTGTATGAGCCCGCTTAACGGAGTCCCGTCTTTCGGCACGAGATACTGATTGGACACATTCGCTATGTTGTAACCCTCGCTCCTGGCCAGCTCATTTTGCGGGAAGTGGGCATTCATCTCGTCGCCGTCGAAGTCCGCGTTGTACGCTTTACAATTGGCATAATGCAGATGCAACGTTTTCTCACCCTTCAGTACGCGCGCTTTGTGGGCCATTATACTCGGTTTGTGCAACGTCGGCTGTCTGTTTAATAGCAACACATCGCCAGTTTGGAGATGCCGGTGTACCATTTTGACACCGATAAAAGACTCCGTGGTCCTGTCGTTTGTGGTCAAAAGACGCTTCGCGATGGCTTCTCTCTGCGTGGGATTGTTACCGTCGATAGCTTGTACCGATCCGTCCTCATTTTCCACCATAACTGCGCCGGGATGAACGTCGGGGCCGTTCAGGACTAATCGTCTCAATTCAACGACATTCCACGGCGTTATTGGCGTGGGATATGTTAATTTGCATGCAAACGCCTCGGGGATACCAATTTCATTTATACTCAAGTCAGGATCCGGAGTAATAACCGAGCGCGCGGCGTAGTTGACTCTCTTACCCATCATGTGCATCCGAATGATACCCTCCTTCTTTTCAAGAATCTGCTTCAGACCCTGGCCATTGATGGACTCGGGAGTTCTGTTCATATCGCGATCCATCAAATGATTCACGTTACTCTGCAACGCCTGCCAAGCATTGTGCAACTTCTCAACTGCCGTAACTCCCTTGATCTGTTCAAAAACAAGTCTACCCTCTTGTGGCAAGACATCAGGGCTTCCATCCTGGATCGTTTGTATAATATTTCTCAGGACCAAACAGTCCTGTATAATGCCCTTGTAGATGTGAGTCTGAGGATGCTCGACCATTTGACCATTAAGGAAATTTACCGGCCGTACGATCGGTGGTAGTACGGGTATCACTTCGAAGAAGAACACGTCGGTAGGATATTCGATGTCTACCAATTCTAAGCAGGGTATAATTATTTCGAGAAAGTCCTTTTCGTTTTTCCACAGTTGCCGCAGATATTCCTTAGATTGATCTGGCATAATCATCACCGGCTCCAGCTTGTGCACCACTTGGCGAGAGAGCATCTCCTTGGAAGGTGCATCCTTCTTATTGTTTATCATTATTTTATTATGGAGCGTCGAAATCTTTGGGAGATATTCGTGACAATTCATGCATACTCCAGCCTTATTTGTTCTCACGTATTGCTTAAGTATGTTTTCGACATACACGTGCCACTGCATAATGGTGTTCTTCATACTGGTTTCATTCTCATGACTGTCAGGCGCGACTCGATTGTATCTGGTTCTATTGACGAAGTTCTCCATGTAAGTTTCAATTATATTACGAACACATTCCGTTTGTTCCTCTTCTTTCCGAGTGCTCGTTATTACAGACGTTACTTCTTCGTCCAAGCCGTCGAGATCGCTAAGTTGTCCTTGGTGAAGCAATTTTAATTTTGCAGACAGCAATAATTTGATGTACGGCGGTACTTGTAACGTGAAGCACCTTAAACATGATAGTTTGAGTAGTGTAGATAATGCTTTGTGAAATAATGGATTTACAACAGGCACTGGCAATTCTATATGGCCGAAGTGGCCTGGACACTTGAAACCACTATGCCCACATGTGCTGCATAGCTCCGAGGTGCTTTTCGTTGTGCCTATAACAGAACGAATCTAGTAAATTAAGTTTTATATAAAATATGAAAAATATAACTTTTATGTTATGCATTTAATTATATACATATAATACACTTTCTTACACACACACACACACGCGCGCGCGCGCACACGCACACACACACACATTAGTTTAACGATGTTAAAAATATGTGCAATATGCTTGCAATAAATTTCTGAAAATTTACAGCTAATCTTTAATAACATGTGACTCTATCACGAATCTTTTCCTCTAGCGTAAACTCGAGAAAAGTATAAAATTTTATTGACCAATATTGAAATCATGTTTTCAATTCTTGACTTATCGACTAACTTTTGACTCCGTATTTATTGCATATTTTTAATTTTTGACTTTTCTAACGTTCGACTCTTGACTCCGTTTACCATGTTGTCAGTCTTATTGTGCCTCCTACGTTTGCAAATAAATTCCGCATTTTTATTGGCATTTATGTGTAAGCCTGCTTCTTCTTTGATCGACACAATCTTTATACTAAATACGTTACAATACCTAATTCTGTACAATTAATTCACGTAAAATTTCAATTCTCAACCGACCTCAGCTGACCACATTTATTAGATACGCCTTCACAATGTTTCGACCTTTGGTTTAGGTCCTTTTCAAGATCTTGTTACGGAGTTTGTCAAATGAAATTACAGCAACAATTTGGCGAACGGTGTTCAGAAATAAGAGCTATTTTACTAACGTCCGGAGTCGATGATTGTAAGACAAGGACCTAAATCAAAGGTTGAAACGTTGTGAAGGTGTATTTAATAAATGTGGCCAGCTGAGGTCGATTGAGAAGTGAAATTTTATTTATATCAATACTGGCAATCTGATGAAATATACCAATTAATTTAGAATACACAGTTTTACACATTGTCGCTTGAAAAGGACCACAACCCGTAAGGTCAAAACATAGCGAGTTGTAATTTTTTAATAATAAATTCAGGCCAGTTGAGTAAAAAATTGTCCACTTATTACTTATCTACTAACAAAATTAAAAAATTCTCACTTAATGTTGAATTCGTCAGTAACATTTTTTGCTTTTCACGATTTCACGCAGGAGGACACAATTCGTGATCAAACCCCTGATGTCTGATGTCTGATTTTATTAAATTCAATTCTCATATTCTATTCAAATATCCTAATTTTTTCAATATCTGAGAGATATTGAAGCAGATATCTTAATGTTATAATAGATTTTAGACAAGGGGTAAAACGCATTGTGGTGTACAGATTTGCAGCATTACTAAGCATTTCTGGGGCATTAGTAGGTGTTATTTGACCTTACTGGGGGGGGGGGGGGGGTCAGAAAGAATCTCAAAAAATAAAATAAGATAACAAGATAAAGTAATGCCCACTGGGCATTACTGTCAAATTTTAATGCATTAGTAGGCACTGGTGTACACGACTTTGGTCAATGGTTCATCCATTGATTTCAGACTAACAGCCTTAAGAGTTAAATAAACTAGGGCTGCTAATAAAATTTTGAAACAATTTAATGTATATAAGCCTGCGGTCAAGCTACCGCTGCAAAACTTCGAAGCGTTTCTTCTCTCTTTCTATCTTCCCCGAAAGAAAAGAGAAGAATACTTCATAACATTCGAAGCAACAGCTTGACCACAGCCAAAGAAATATTGTTTCAAGCAATGAAAACCTATTTTATAATTGGACCAAACATTTTTCGCCGTGAATTGTATTATAATGTTTTACCTAAGGATGGGTCATACAATCCACCCTTTAACGGATGTCCAAGAATGTTAAAAGACAATGGTGTTCTGATTTTCGCTACACTTAAATTTCTTATATCGTTTGCTGTGAAAACTGAGAACAGTATATGCTTAGAATCTTGATGTTTCGGTGTTAAACGCTGTCTGTAGTGTTTACTCATCTTGATGTCCCTCTAGCTCTCATATATCTGTAAAACAGTAACAAATAATGTAATAATCAGAGGTGATATGTGTGAGAGCAGTCACGTAATGGCCAAATTCCAGACTTGAAACTTACTTTTATTCCATATATACCTTAATTCGTAAGAAATTGATTAGGATTGAGGTTTTTATTGAATTGTATTGTGAACTGTTTTGGAAATAATAAGACTAAAACGTAGTGTAATAATTTTTTATAAAATGTTAATATAAAGGCATGTTTAGTTTCTTTCAAATTTCAGTGATTAAATAGTTACGTAAGAATCTCTTTGCTCATCAATTTTGACAAGAGTTATTAAACATTTTATTGTGACCTGAAGTGAAATAAAATAAAATGGTTACTCTAAAATCTAATAATAAATGTGTATGGTCGTTTGCGGTAATCTATGGCAAAATTAATTTATACCAAAGGCTGGTGTGAGATACAATTATTATGATTATACATTAATTGTAGAAACAATATAAAAACGCCAAAATAGTATCACATTTTTAGCAGAATTATATACTGGATATTTTATCAGTTACAAAGAACTTGTATTATGATCTCGTACCGAACACTTTGCACATATCGCTTTTTTGAACACACTCCAATTTTTTTTCTAACTTTGAAAGCGTATTATTTTACACATACAACAGATAATAAATTAATGATAGTTTATATTGTGGAATGTCAGTTTCTATTATATCGTTCACTTTACATTGTTAAACGTTAAGACTAGTATAAAAATGTGTTACAACAAAAAATACCTACTCAAGCTCTAATCTAATTAAATCTGATTATCTTATAAGGAACATGTTCTTCTTAAATATAGATTGAGATAATCGCTAACTTGAAATGTAATATTAATCGCATCATCTGGGCATGTGAGATACGGACAAATTATTCGTATGTAGTATTTAAAATTTTTCTAACCTTAACCTAGCCTAACATATCTTTATTAATCTCACAACAATAAATTTATAAAAGTGAACAGAAGCGATTAAGACAGATCAAAATTGAAGATTAACTCGAAATAACCCTAAATTAATTTAATAAACAGAATAAAAACCTCGTGCAAATCTCGTGCTGCAGAAGCAATTGCTAAACGAGCCGGTTTCCACCATAGACATATAAAAGATAGACTGCTTATCACAGTATAAAGCTCGCTGCAGACGATGCTATTTTTTCTGCTGGATTGCTTGCGATCATAGGGTTTGTTTTCTGTTCCTGCACTGGTGAACTAGTGCAGTAAGCTAGAATGAGAAAAAATATGCTTGTCTTACTCCAATTTATTGCACTAGTTCACTAGTGTAGGAACAGAAAACAAGCCTCTTGTGTAAAGCCCGCTGCAGACGATGCTATTTTTCCTGCTGGATTGCTTGCGATTTAGTAAATTACTATCATTGCACATCATAGTAATTTACTAAATCGCAAGCAATCCAGCAGGAAAAATAGCATCAAGGCCGCTCACGGACAGCACTGCCACGAGGCGTCCTTACAATCACCTAGGCTGCGTTCGGGGAGACGCTATTAGCGCTGAAAACGTCAGTCTATCTTCGTCACTCACTGTACGTCGAACAAAGATAGAAGACGCTTTTAGCGCTGAAAGCGCGCTCCCCGAACGCACCTCTAGTCATCACATATGGCCGCCACCCAATTTCCCCTCACCGCGCTCGCTTGGGTCCCCTCGTCCGAAATCCTACATTACGCTCCGTCCATATATTCTTACGTCCATGATTCGCTCATACTTGACGCCGACTGAATGTATTTTTAAATAATTTCTATATGCAATCGTTTGTATTTCGTATGTAGACGTTTCTAGTGCAATTAGAAAGGTTTGTGAGTCATTCGTTTGTTTGTAATTAATTAATTTTTTTTCCACCGTATACTTAGGGCAATAGATAAATTAGATAAAATTTTTATATGAAATCGTTGGTATTTCGTATGAAGACGTTTGTAGTGCAATTAAAAAGGTTTGTGAGTGATCCAGATAATTTTAATTAAATATTTATTAAATGGAAGTTAGCCGGATTCAAAATTTAATTGATTTCCTATCTATGATACTGAATGATTTAAGACATAAGAATTGCTTGTCACGTTCCGGGACCTCAACAACATAGCCACATATGGCAGGAACAATACAAAGTTAGTTTTATTTGGAAAAATGGTAATTATGGAGAATAGGAACTTTTCCGAATTTTGATATTTTCTTGCGGTTATCTTGGTAAAAACCTTTGTTGTGACTCTGACAGTGATAATCAATCGGGGGAGCCCGAAAAATATGCACCCCGAGTGACCTTTCTAACCTAAAAACTGTCAGTTCGCGGAAACATTTGTGTAATATACAAATTAAATGGCTTAGGCTGAAATCACATGATGCAGAATAGGAGTACGGAATAGAGAGTGCGTTATAGAAACAGGCAATCAGAGCTTTGCCGTATCAACGAGTAACGGAAATGTCTGGCTCTGATTGGTTGCTTCTATGACGCACGTTCTATTCCGCAGCTCTATTCTGCACCATGTGATTTCAGCCTTACGTGTACAGATCGAAAGCAGCTTGCTATTCCGGCCAAATGAAAGAACAATATGGCATCACTGAAACTAATAAGTTTGT